TTCCCGATGAATGTACACTTCGTCGATTCGAATTTTGAGTATCCTTTCTACTAATTCGGATTTTTGACTGACTTCTGATTATCCTCTCTCACGATTCGGATTTATGACTTTCTTGTCTCGATTGAGTTGAAATGTCGTATTTATCGAATTTTAATCCGATATTTGCTAGCGAGAAGCGCGAATCCTCTATCGGATTATCTCGATACTACTTTTCCGCGGTTTTGACTTTCGGGAGACGTTCCTCACCTATCGGCTAGTGTTGACACTAGCCGCGCGTCCTTGTTGTCTATTTGTAACGAGTGCGCTCTCAGTACAGGAGTACTGAGAAGCTGGTCGTTTTGTCACGTTACAATACTTTTTATTAGAGGAATACACAGCACTCCTGTCTTTGGCGTAGTCTTTTACACGTAAGTGTTTTTTAGGGGACATCCCAAGTTTTTGTTGCTTAACGGGACATAGAAGCTCTAAGCACTGAAATCTATATTGTTTGTCACATATATAAAATGTAAATGCATTATGATGTCGCTAATCAGAAAAATATATTGCGTTGTCGAAAATGTTTAATGGCATATAAATTTAATTTCTTCAACAGCGGAGCGAAAACGGGCAATTCTCGAATGGGAAAACGTGGAAGATTGAAAAATTGAATAGGAGTGAGGTGACATTTGCCGACGAATCCAACGACCGGCTACCACCGGGGCAATTGTTTTTTTCACGTAAGCTGTACGATGCACAGATGTTTCATTGTGATTTCCTAAGTTACCAAACTAACCTGCTTATTTTCACCGACCCAAGAATCACCCACTACGTAAAAACTCGCGTTCGCTCCGCTGTTGAAGAAAATAGTATGTGAACCGCGAGAGAAAACGGCCGTTTTCGCTCTTGGTGCACCATATACTATAGTAAGTCCCTTTTTCTAGAATTGCATAAAGATATATACAAATTTTTAAAGAAAATGTAATCTTCATTGCATATAAGCGTCGTTAATGGTGTCCAGCTTGTTGAAGCCGTGTGGTAAACGTAAGAAAGGAGAGTGTGCTAGATTATTTACGTGCCTCAGGCCGTGCGAACATCAGAGAGGATACTATAGTTTGAGCGAAGCGCTAAAGCGGCGCTCGTTGCACACTTTTCTGGACTTCTACGTCCGACACCTAGATACAAGAAACTACGAAGCGGAACACCTGAACACCCTGAACATCCACGTCTGACACCTAGTTGCAGGAAACTACGGAGTGGAACACCTGGACACCCTAGACTTCTACATCTAGTATCTAGATACAAGATACTACGGAGCGGACCATTTGGACATCCTGGACTTCCAGGTCCGCCACCTAGATACTGGAAACTACGGAGCGGAACACCTGGACAAACTGTAACCTAAAATACGAGGAACTATGCCGCAGCACATATACATATACATACACCCATATACGCCCGCTCCATATGAATGCTATTAACAACTGAATAATTCTATACTGTTGTGAAAGCACCCTTATACTAACTAAAAATTCGGTATGAACGGTAGCTTCACGTATAAAGTGTATTTGATTGTGTTGTGTATTCGTAAATTACTAACACCATACAGAGTAAAAATAGGTAAAGAAGGCACAACAGTCAGCGCCATCTGTCGTGTAAACAATGCGATGGACGTGCGAAGACGACGACGACGACGATGACAACGACGACGACGACGACGACGACGACGACGACGACGACGACGACGACGACGACGACGACGACGACGACGACGACGACGACGACGACGACGACGACGACGACGACGACGACGACGACGACGACGACGACGACGACGACGACGACGACGACGACGACGACGACGACGACGACGACGACGACGACGACGACGACGACGACGACGACGACGACGACGACGACGACGACGACGACGACGACGACGACGACGACGACGACGACGACGACGACGACGACGACGACGACGACGACGACGACGACGACGACGACGACGACGACGACGACGACGACGACGACGACGACGACGACGACGACGACGACGACGACGACGACGACGACGACGACGACGACGACGACGACGACGACGACGACGACGACGACGACGACGACGACGACGACGACGACGACGACGACGACGACGACGACGACGACGACGACGACGACGACGACGACGACGACGACGACGACGACGACGACGACGACGACGACGACGACGACGACGACGACGACGACGACGACGACGACGACGACGACGACGACGACGACGACGACGACGACGACGACGACGACGACGACGACGACGACGACGACGACGACGACGACGACGACGACGACGACGACGACGACGACGACGGACCTGAAATAAAATCATCTCGCTCGCCATGTGAATACGTCCTGATCCCGTACACGAATCGTATTGAATTTGGTGGCAATCAATTCAGAACTCTTAATTCTTACAATGAATGTATTCATAAATTTTTCTCACATACGGCCCTTCATAAGATATTTGAGTCGAAACATAGGTACAAGAGATGCTTCCAGTAAAGAGTCTCGGCGGGCCGTGCCCCGTACGGCGGGTTGCCTGTACTTGGCGTGAGACTCGACCAAGTCTCTTGATTACTTGATTCTTTTTCTAAACTTGTTAAATTATATGCATTGGAACATGCGACCACGCGAATTGCTCCTAATAGACTTTTAAATTATTACATACCATCTGTTGGAAAACCTAAAAGAATTCTTGCTGATCACGGTACATAATTTACATCTGATTTATGGAGAAAGACATTAGCACATGAGAATATTAAAGTTCTTTATTCATCCATCCGACATCCTAAGTCAAATCCTACCGAGAGAATTATGCGTGAAACAGGTCGATATTCAGAACATTATGCTATGATAAACATACCCGATGGTTCAGATTTTTAAAACAAATAGAACAATTACTTAATACTACATTCTAGCAGTGGTTTTATTCCTTTAGAACTACATTATGGTATTAAAGCAACAGATGCTATTTCAGAGATTGTTGATTTTCCACCTGGAAAGGATTTCAATCGTAACGCTCAATTATTGCTTGCACATAAAAGAATATATAAAAATTTTGAAGCACGGAAAAAACAACAACGTACACCATCAAAAATTAATTTGCAAATTGGTGATCTAGTTCTCATACGAGTTCCACATATTATATCAAAAGCATCGGAATACCTTAATAAAAAATTCTTCCATTTGTATGAGGGACCATATAAAATTTCAAAATCTGTAGGAAAGAATGCATATGTCCTCACTGATATCATAGATGCAACCAAAGTCATCGGAACGTATAATAGAGTCAACTTGAAAAAATATCATCAGCCATAATCCTTTGTTTTTACTATCTAGTGAAATTCAATTTATTAATTCTACTATTTCTAAACCTAATTACATATACAACATATGTGACTTTATGTCATCATCACATTATGTTAATTTTTTGTATATGACAACATCGTTATGTGATTGCGTTTATTTAAGGACTACGACATTTGTGTATGCGACAGCAATACCGGGTAGTTACTTTAGTAATAATATTATAAAATGCCCAATTTCTTATTTTTATATAACGGTATCAAATTAAAAATATGTTATTGCTTAAATTGAGGGGGGAAATGTAACGTATACATTACCGACAATACCTATATTCGTTTGCTTCTTGTATCTAATAGATGTCACTTCACACCAAGTATTATCCTTACTCCGTAATTTAGTCAATCTGTGTAAAATTGTATAACTTTCATCGGATTAATCGGTACATAACCCGATGCTGAGCAAGATCACCACTGCGGGGGTTTCCCAATCAGAATAAGGGAGAGAACACAAAAAAAAACACAAGAATACTAAGTCAAGGAATATGGAACCTGTTTGAGAATAATTTAAACTAAATTTAATTATATTAAATATTTATATTCGAAATTTAAACGTATAAGTATTAGTCGGTCGTTCGTTTTATGATTATAATTTATATAAATTGTATGAATGTGGTATGAATGTTATGTGTTGTGACGTGAATTTTTGACAATCCACGCCACAAACGACCTGCAAGACTAGGGCTGTAGGGATTAACTGATTAACGCTCCAAACGTCAGTCCTAGGTTAAAGCGCACAGATTCCTTAGTATTAAGTCACCCGCCTATCGTCCGCTTTAATGTTTCTTTGCTTGGTTTTATTTGCACTCTGCTTGCTTTCTTTTTCTTTTTCTTTCTTTGGTGTACTGTATCACGCTTTGGTGCCACCGTTTGGTGAGAGCTGGTGGAACAACGTCGAACAACGGGGGAAGGGAGGAAAGAGGCGCTGATTTTTGGTGACCCTGGATGGGGCTCATACTTTCGTCTGCCGGCCGTCCAGCTGGGACGCCCTACGATCGACGCCGCCCTCGCCGCCGACGAGGAGTTGACGTGTCCTCCTCGTGCTGCCGCAGGGCCGCGAGAATATCTACGGCGGGCTCATGCCAAGGTACCGCCGGAGACAGGGAGGAAGAGCAGCTAGCACCGCGGACTCCCGCGCTCCCTGGCCTACAAACGGACCGCAGCACCCGAAGACTCCCGAACGTGCCGCCGACAGCTTCGGTCAACTTCGTGACTAGCGATGATCCTCACCGCGAAAAACCCTTTAAGCGATTAATACGTTCGAAGTTCGATATTTTGTCACGGTTCCGCCAGCGCCTAAATAATGTAAATAGTGGGGGTCAAGAGGTCTCGAGCTCAGTGAAATTGAAATAGTACTTCACTTACGATTGGAGCTTATTAGCGAGTGGTCGAAAAGGGAAAGTTAGTCAGCGTAGGCAAGAGAAAAGAAAGGAGGATTGAACATAGAGAGATAGAAGGAAGGAAGGAAGGAAGGAAGGAAGGAAGCCCTTCTGGCCCCTTTCGGACTACATATTCTTACCTTACCGCTACGATATTTGGTGAGACCCTTGACTACCATTATAAAATTGGCGAAACTATTTCTTGGTGTTAGCGAAAATTTACCTTTAAGGCCTTCTGCCTCAACGGAAGTATCTCCGATTTTGAGAGTCCCGATGTGAATGTCTTTCCGCATCGGGCTAGCCAAAAAGGACGATAGTGCTGGGCTTTGCGATTTAGTGATATTTCGATAAATTTTCTGTTTGATTGATTTTTGCCGCATGAGGCCCTAACGTAAGCTTTATACTGGAATCTGTCTCTAAATTAAGTTTTCTTCTCTAGTCAAATCTTTCTGTAACGCCGCGCTTTTAGGCGATATTTTATGTTATAATTTATT